GGGAGGAGGAGGCGGAGGAGGAGGGGGAAGAAGTAAGAAAGAATAAAAAAGAAGAAGAGGAGGCGGAGGAGGAGGCGGAGGAGGAGGCGGAGGAGGAGGGGGGAAAAGAAAGAATAAAAAAAAGAGGCGGAAGAGTGGAGAAGAAGAAGAAGAAAAAGAAGAAGAAGAAGAAGAAGAAGAAGAAGAAGAAGAAAAAGAAGAAGAAGAAGAAGAAGAAGAAGAAGAAGAAGAAAAAGAAATGGTGATGGGAAAAGAGAAACAGCTAATTTACAAACCTTGCACACTCACAAAGGAATCCCACTGTTTTAGTGTGATAACGTGAACCTTCAAGCCAATCCACTCTCTTTGCCATACCTCTTGTGTAGCTGTCTTTAATTTTGATCTAGATAAATATTTTCTATGAGTAGTTTTTTTTTTCCATTTTATGTGATATTATTAGTTGCAAATGTAATATACCTACCTTACCTAAATAAAAAAATAAAAAAATAAATATTCGGTTTTCCCACGCTAGATGGCGCGAGTAGACAAAAATTAATGTTCACATGAGTTTTCACCGGTTGCAAACACGAGAATAATTCTGGTCCAAAGGTACAATTACTTGCTGTAACGTTGAAGCCGCTGTGTAATTTAAATGTTCATGAAATAATCTAGATAATCGATTGTGTTTTCTTTGCAATGTTTTGTTTTTTCGTTGTCAGTTCACAGTTGTTTGAGTGCTTGACGTGGATGACGCAGCCAAGGGGTCGTTGTCACAGGCACTTGGACCGTTTCAATAATAAAATGATGGTTAATAAATACAACTTGTCAGTACTACTACTAGACCTACCAGTAACAGTACCAGTAATAGTCTTAATGTTTGATTTGACCTAATAACTTCACTTCAACACCGTCCAATACACCGCTGCAACATATAGCGCGCACGCCATTGTGCATGAGATGATTCAGAGTGTTTGCTTCCGTTCCGAGTTCAATTATCAATCTTGAAAACGTGCATCCTGATCAAATTTTTATACTGTTTTGGACTTTATTTCGTTGAAGTACACGTTCGACACTCGCGGCATCTACCGCTCAACTGATTTAGCTGGTGCTAAAATTTGGCTCGGGCCTGTTCCGACGTTTTCGATGGGACCAAATTGGCACGGCCCGAAAAACCGTCTGTGTGAACGCTCGGCTCGAGCCAAATTTGGCGCGGGCCCAATTGGGCTCGGGCTAAAAACGTCCGTGTGAACGCGCCTTAGGATTGGGCTGCGTTGGCCCAACGTTGACTCATGGTTGTCATTACTTGAAAAAAGCCATCGCCTATGCTGATCATTGGCCCAATCTCGGCATGTACCAGTGGAGTGGAAAAACGCCATGGGGCCATGTTGATCGAAATGTCATTGACCCAACGTCGGCATATTCTGAAAAAAAGTCGTTGGATAATCAATAATGGGCCAATATTGAGCAAAAAGCCACTGGTCCAATGGTAACACAGAGCAAAAACCCATTATATTATGCCGATTTTGGCTCAATGGTTGCATGCTATGTTGGAGCATTTTAATGGTATTTAGTATTTACCTAGGTGATAGGGAGTCTCGTTTCTTCAAATGTTAATTTGATCCCTATATAGTTCAAAGTTCACATTACTCTTGTAAATAATTACAAATTGATTTTATAGGAATTAAATCAAAGCAAAGCATAAAATTCCACAATCTGGCTATAAGGGAATTTCACTCCATTTATAAAAGTTAATAACAGTTGATATTTTGCTTTTATGTTACTAGATAGTGCAACGATGGCGGATGATAGTTGGGTGGAGAAGTACAAACTGGAACATGAAAGTAGTGAAACCTGGATCAAGAAGAAGAAATTTCTGATTTCGTACCATGATAAATTTGAAGAAGATCGTCTATTATGCCTTGCACAAACCTATGTCAACGTTATGGAAATGGGTTGTAGGTAGGTGCAAATGAAGAAGTAGCATCACTGGTCTTTGATAGATAACCAAGAATCGAACATAAACCCAAATCACAGACCATTATTATATAAGCAGTAATTGCTATTGTAAGGATGGATTGAAATTTATTACTCTATATGTGACATGATATAAATGGTTGCCTACCATGTGTTATATTTTTAAATGTGCATGCTGCAGACTTAATAGCAATAAATCTGTCTACGCGACTAGTTCCTTATCTCCATGACTACCGGTACATTCAAATAAGTCTATTGAAGCATGTAATTCTATTTCACAATTGCCAACCTGGGGTAGGTAATACTTCAGAAAAAAAAATCGCCCACAGTTATCATTGGGATGTGAGTGTTCTGACCTTTGATTTTTTCGGTAGAACATTTTCTAATCAAATATTGTTTCCATCTGCAGGTACCCACAGAGGTTGATGACTGAGGTCAGCGAATTAGCAACTGGCATTGGCGAAGAGTTGGTATATAGAGGAAAACCCATTGATTTTGTGAAATCTGATGGTAGGTATACAATAATAGCAGTAGCTTTTATAATAATAATAATTGATAGCTATATAAATAAATACACAGTTTTGTAGTAGATGCTGCTGTTATACTTATACAATTATATTTATATGTGCTGGTAAGTTTCTAGTGTATTTTTAGCTCACCTTGACATCGTCAAGCTGAGCTATTGCCATGGGTCGTCGTTCGTCGTACGTCCGTCCAACCGTCACAAATTGTGATTCATTTTGGTTTATAAATTATTATTGCAATATACAGATGGCAACCGTGTGCTACCGCCTAGAAAAACTCATACGAAGTAAACACTTCCATGCAACCAATTAACCTTTGACAAAAGTTGTGTTGTGGGCAGGGAAACACCATTGTCACGTGGTATATAGCAGCTACGTGGAATAAGCGTATCCTCTCAATCTTACACGTTACACATCAGGAGCTCCGCTTTTAGGCAGTGCCTAAATCTGAATATTATAAAAACGTTAAATGGCGATCATTTAGGTGTAACGCCATCACTCGCCCACATCTCAGACTTTCACATCTCAACCATTTATTTTCACATAAAAAATTACACATAATTATCAAGAGTATATAATGGGAGTTCTCCCATATATACTCTTCGTTTCTATAATGTACGTCGATGGTTGCTCAATTAAAACTGACTTCTTCTCACTCACTCATTTGTGTCCTTTTTTTGTGGTGAGCTACAGTGTCATTGACACTTTCATTTTGTTTCTGTTTAAATACAAGTTATGTGAGTAGAGAGTCAGGCAGTGCTGAGCTCACCTGGAATGCTGCTCTAGCTAGTACTATTATAGCTGGTGTGGCCATGTATTGGCAGTCCTCTGTCCATATATTCATGTGTGTGTGCGTGCGTGGGTGCGTGCGTGCGTGCGTGCGTGAGGTTATGTTTGCGTGAGTGTCTGAATGCAATCTCATTTAGATCCATGTAATGAAAGCAAGTAGCTGATGAGTGTTATCTCATTGAGTTTGTGCTAATCAACTTGTTTTGTTTTTTATCTCAGAATAGCACCACTCTCTATCATCACCAGTCTTTCTCAGAAGAGCAAGCCCAGTACTACTTAAAACCTATTCATTTACATCGCCCAGTGGTAACAAGGCAATGGATCAGAACTATGTAGTCTGAGAGATTATGTAAAGGCATTTAGTAATGATGATAATTTATATACTTGTATATAGCACGACATACATTACATGTGGCATAACTGAACCAAATGAGTTCGTCAACGTTCCAATCTTGTTTTTTTTAAATTACATTCCTAATGAGTAATTAAAAAAAATTAAAGCTGTACATGTATAGTACATGTAGGTATGTAACTATTAGTTGTAGATTAAGAAACAGTAAGACAATCTAGTTTGCGGTTATATTGGCATTATTCATATCATATTCTTGTATGTAAGAGTAACTTTGTCTAATTAAAATAATAAAACAATGGTATCAATTGAAAAGTTGCATTTGCTAAGAAATGTTTTTCTTTGATCTAATTCAATTATAGAATTGATAAGAACATGAAAATCGGTTAGATAATCAATGAATACCCGATGAATATACCTCCAAACAGCTGTTCAAACACCATTATTGATGATTTTTGGGGCAGCTCTGCACAAACTAACAGAAATATTCATCCTTGATGCCTGTCACTCATTCCAGAGGCATATACATTTGTCAGTTCATGGTGCTCCGCCAGTTATTTTTGTCAGCAACTTTATCGTGCTTTAGGAAATTCATCCACTCATGAAAACGTGCGAGCAGAAATTGTCGTGCTTTAGTTTAACAAGCAAGTTTTCGATGGAACCAGATTCTCCCGTCTTGGTGTCGTGCCAACCAATCACAGATCCAAGTGATGCAAACTGAATCAAAATTTTCATCAGCACGTGACCAACACGTTTGCCGGTAGCGAGCCCAGCGGGGAGGAAATCGATAAAGATGGGTGTGGTTCTCCATTAGACTTAGAAATGACCTTGAATTCCGCCTGACACTTGCAATGCATCCGTCGTACTTATCCCCCACCGCCAAGTCACCACGAGCGATGCGAGTTGGTCACGTTGGGTGTTACGTCGCGCGGGTCGTTAGTAGGCCCTATAGCCGCAATCCGATCCTCCCTGTCGACCTGAGTTAACACGCGGGAGCCGAAGGAAGCTTCGTCTTGGCCGAACTATGGGATGATCACGAAGCGCGTTGCTAGTTCACTTGCCTCCCAAGGTCTACATCAATGTAAAGCAACAAGATGAACCGATAGCTTTTATCTCACTAGATGGCAGCAGCGTTGCTCTCGTGCACATTTTCTGCCCCTTCCCCAATTTTGGGCAGCCTTGCCCTAAGTTAAGCAAATAGGATGATATTAATATTGAATAACCCAATGCACTTTTCGAACTCTGCCTCACTTAAGTGGCTTTTGTGAAGCCCAAAGCAGGAAGGTATACATTCTCACAATTTTCAGAGTTCTGTGTCATTTCATTCTCTGATTTGAGTATTTGATCAATTCAGTATAAAAGACAAATAATATTTAAAAAATAGGTTTCAGTTAGAATACAAAAATATTTAGTCATGTATTAGCATTACAACCAAAGAATACAATGATTTACATACAATGATAAACAAAAACTGTCTTTTAGTCGGTACAATTATGTGCATATGAGAAAGCAGTGCACAAAAAGCTAGCTAAGCATGAGCACGCCAAACTTATCAGACTGGTTTTGCGTCAAACTGACCGAGTTGATCTTGTGGTTGAGCACAACGCTCAAATGCTGTAAATTCTGGTGACCATGACCCAACAATGAACAGATTCAATAACTAGACGGTGGTGTGAATTCAGACATCTGATGTGGGGAGGGCTCTAATGTTGTGTTGAAATGCCCACAGCTGTGTTGTCTTGCAACTGCAGCAAGCTAGTTATCAAAAATGCTTTCATCAACAAGTCCAAATACACTGGTCTCATTCCTATATGTTCAATGGTGTCATGAAATTCTACCTCACAGAGATCAGCAGTTTTTGACCAACCGACTTCTCACTACACAGTAACATCAATTTTTGTCACCGTTGGCAGTGATGGCTTCACCATTGTTAGCTTTTAGCTTTTTCGCCGCGTCGTCACAGACTTGCGAGTCGTGTTTTATCCCAGTCGAGCCAAACCCTCCATCACCTCGCGCTGTGTCGTCCAGTGTCTGTGGAGGTGAGGAGAATTTCCATAAATATACATCACATGGGGGTAGGTATCATTTTCAATAAGAAGAGTAAAGATTCAATAAGGAGCAGTAGCAAAATTATCATCATATTCTAGCAATCAAACCATTACTGCAATGCTGGGTTACACACAAAATGCACCCAATCTAAAGGATTCTTGGGGGGAGTACCACATCTTGTAAACAAATGTTTAAATCAACAACTGTCGCCAATACAATGTGCGAATACCAGTGTCAGACTTTCCTCGCTGCCTAGAAACGAACTTGAATGTTACAACCTCAGCTGTGTAGAATAACAGATAAACATGTAGAGTTGGGGAGGGTACTCACTTCACTCTCTTCCAAGTCGGGCAATTCAATTTTCTCGCAGATCAATTGGGCGATACGGTCACCTCTACTTACTGAAAGCGATAAACAAACGAACATGGAGCTAGATTAAGGACCTGTGAAATAAAATGCTGCAAGTCCCTGCATACATCAGTAGTGTAAGCAGTGTATATGAAGATAGTACAAGGCTTTAGCAGTGTACTTTAAGAGAATTTGAGGATATCTACACACAGGTTGTGCAAGCCATTCCACACAATGATGTATAATGCACGAGCCTGCACATGAATCATATATGTAAGAATGACCAAAAGGAAAAAGGGAATAAGGGTACAGAACCACAGAAAAAAAAATACAAATGCAATAAGGAACATTCAGATGTTCGTGATTATGTGAGCAAGATTGGTATTTGCGTGTTAGCGTTCTAATCTACACTGCACTGGACCACAAATTTGCAGAAATGATTTAAAAACCAATTTAACGTACAGATCTATACAATCCTGTTCCACGCCCCTCACCTTTAAAATCGTCTGGTCCAAAATTGAACAAGATGACCCCGACGTTGCCTCTGTAGTCTGCATCCACCACTCCCGCACCAACATCAATGGAATGTTTTGCTGCCAGACCCGATCTTGGAGCTAGAACAGTCAGCAGGATGAGCACATTATAGCTAGCATAGAAAACTCACATCGAAGGATCAGGGTTAAAATCTCGCCCTAGGCACTAGCATTTTCATCAGCGAGCGTGGCATACATCTTAGTTATGTTGAATTGCTTCATTAAACCAGGTTTCATGTGTGATTCAGGGATCTCATTTGGTTCTCACAGCCTACATGCGGTGACATCTATACCACACGGGTTACTAGGGCAAGATGCTGGTCATTTTTATGCTGGGAAGACGAAAAACAAGTCTAATAGTTTAATGAGGTTATGCTCCAGTTAGTCCAAATTTAATTGCAATAGATCAAAGGTAAGTAGCTAGGTTAATCTGTTTTCGCTATGCAGGCAAGCATCTTTTAAAGTCAGACTTACCAATTCTTCCATAGCAACCTGGTGGCACAGCAACCTGGATGTCAGTTTTTGCTAGAACCTGTCCCCTTGCTGGCACTGTGTAGTCATATGCGCTATATGTGTCAATTAATAAAAAACACGTACATTAAAAATATTTTTGGCATTCTCGTCAAAAATGATCACCCCCATCGTCAGATCTCATGCAGAAAACGAATTGAAATTCAAAGTTGAAAAGGGTGGTTTTTTGTTCTGTTACAACCCTAAACTATCACTATCCACTAATTTCTTGTGCGTACATTCCTCCCATTACTCAGTGCTATACCATTTTGAATTGCGAAATTGCCCATAGTAAAGGTTCCACACTTGTTTTCAGCAGTCACTCATTCAATCTGTGACTGATGAAGATGCATAGTTTGGTTCCTAAACTAGTTTGCATGTTGATCATGCAAAGATGCACAACTTCAAGCACTATAGCATCTACAATGGTGCGACAACATTGTAGTGTTTGTACGAAACAGTCAGATGATCAATCTGTAACTGTAAGTCAGTGTGGCAGATGGGGTCAGTGTCGTATCAGGTACTACAGATATGTACCCGAGGTAGTTTTAGGTTGTTTAGTATTATGTTTATATTTTTATGAGGTATGTTTAGGGTTAGGGTTAGGGTACACTTCTGTAGTACAAGTCTGGTACACTTTGTGTATACATATATATGTACCTCGGGTACATATCTGTAGTACCTGATAGTGATAGTGATACGGCGACCCCTTCAGCCACACTCACACTGGGAACCATTTGCAAATGACAAGTAGCAATAAATAATACGCAACCAGTGTCACATATTACGTTGTATGACGTTGTCACGGTTGTGGCATTTACTTTTTGAGAGCCGGTCAATATCCAAGGAGAATTGTATGTTGTATATTTACTGGTATAGTTAGATTTGGTTATGACATAGCCATGCTAGGGACAGGGGGGTGATGACTGATGGGCCCATCACGGGGATGCCGAAGAGATTTGTTGTGTTGAGCCATGGCAACGGGGGCCAAGGTAATTTACCTGTACAAGTCAAATCCCGCGGCAAACTGTGATCCTTTACTTGGTTTGAATGCCAACTCTGAAAGCTTTGCAAACCTCAGTACTGCTCGCTCAGCCGCCATCATTAAAGGTGTTGAATATCGTTTAAAATATGATATTTTCACAGCGTCTTTCAACCAGTTTTTGTAGCTGTGACTTTTGTTCCAGTGTTTCTGAAGTTTGGCGCGAAATCTACAAACGACACCAGCGCCACACGCTGGTAGACTGTAATGTGTCCAATCAGAATTAAGTGTCATATTTGAAAACAATTTTTGATGCCGAAATACTTTTTATGGTGGATGATCAAGCTGCTTCGATATAAGAATGATAATAGGTAAAGAAAAGTAAACGTAAAAAAGTCCTTTATAGTTAATATGTGCAAAGCTCTTATAAAGAATTATTGTGCGTAAGACCAGTAGCCTGGCTAGCTCAGTCGGTAGAGCATGAGACTCTTAATCTCAGGGTCGTGGGTTCGAGCCCCACGTTGGGCTTTCACTTTTAAAATTATAATATGACTCTTCGTTCATCATACATAATCACAACTATTCTTCTTCTTCTTCTCTTTCATCGTCTTTTCCCCATCCAGGTAGAGGAGGGGGAGAGCAAGAGCTATATTCCATATAAATCAGAACTTAATGAACAAAAATTGCTGCACGCAAGATGAGAGGGGAGAGGAGAGAGGACAGAGGGGAGAGGAGAGGAGGGGAGGAGAGGAGGGAGGGGGGAAGATGGAGAAGGAGGGATGGGAGGGTGGAGAGGAAGGGGAGGGGAGGGATGGAGAGGAGGGGATGGGGAAGGGATGGAGAGGAGACGAGGATAGGGGGAGGGATGGAGAGGAGGGGCAGTGGGAGAGATGGAGAGGAACAGGGAGGGGGGAGGAATGGAGAGGAAGGGGGGCGCGTAGGATGGAGAGGAAGGGAGGGGGGGATGGGATGGAAGAGACGAGGGGGAGGAGCGGATGGAGATAAAGAAAGAGAAGGGGGAGGGAATGAGAGAGGGAGGGGATGGGGAGATGATGGACGAGGAGCGGCGAGGAGGGCAGGGAGGGAGAGAGAGGGGACAATAGGGGAGGGACTGGAGAGCAGGGGAGGGGGGAGGGATAGGAGAGGTAGGGGGATGGGGCAGGATGGAGCAGGAGGGAAGGGGGAGGACTGGAGAGGAGGGATGGAGGCGGATGAGAGAGGCAAGGGAAGGGGGAGGATGGGAGAGGAGGGCATGAGAGTAATGACGAAGGCAATGGAGGCGGGGAGGGATTAGGAGAAGAGAGG